CTAAATAAGATTATATAAAAAGATAGAATATTCTTACTACTAATTATTAAGCTTAGGAATTAGTTATAAAGTAAATAGTAGTTTATAATATTAGATCTAAAAAGAGCTTATAATCTAATATAAATTAAAGAAAAAGATAAATAAAAAATAGTATTTAGAATAAAGTTTAATCTTTATAAATATTTTATTATATTCTTTAGACTAATAAATATATTTATAATATTCTAATAAATAATTAATTAAATACTTTAAAAGTATTTTAATATCTTTATAGTAGTTTATTTTAATAATATTTTAATTTTCTCTAATAATCTAAAGATATATAAGAAATATATATACTAAGTTTTAGAAAAACTAGAAAAAATAAAACTTCTTATAGAATTAGAAAAAAATTTCTTTTATATATAAGAAATTAATTTCTTAGAATATACTATTTAACTAAATAAGATATAAATAGAATAAGATAAAATTACTATAATTAAAGAATAGAAAATATTAAAAACTATTAAGAAAGTATAAGTTTTTCTTAGATTTACTAACTACTATTAATAATTTATTAAGAACTATAGAAAAATTATTATACTCTTATATAATATTATTAAAAAAGAAATAGAATTCTAATAGAATAATAAATAATAATAAATATTTAATAAAATTAAAAACTAAATACTTTTAGAATCTATACTATAGATATTTAATTCTATAAAGAAAATAGAACTTAAAATAGATATTTTAAACTTTATAATTAGTATATAAATTAACTAAAAGGATAATAATAAAATATTATACTCTATAGTATTCTTTTTAAAGAAATTATATAGTATAGAATTTAATTATTCTATTTATAATAAGGAATTTATAATTATTATATATATATTTAAAGAATTTAAATATTACTACTTAGGAATAATATATAAGATTAAAATATATATAGACTATAAGAATATTTAGTACTTTACTATAACTTAATAATTAAATAGAAAATAAATATACTATATAGAATATCTATTCTAATTTAATTATAAAATTATATATTAAAAGGAATTAGAAAATAGAAGAGCTAATACTCTTAATTAAAAATCTAAATATAAAAAAGTAGTTCTAAAAATAAATAGATAGCTATTCTTAATTAATAATAAAGAATATTTAGTATAGAAAACCTTAGGAGCTATATTTAAAAAAATAGTATATATAAAGATTTAGATAGAAACTATTTCTAGTTTAGAAAAACTATAATAAGATATTAGAATAATACTTATTAAAGAAATCTATAAATATCTACTCTTAGAATATTAAAAAGTTAAGAAAATATTTAATAGAATTAAATAATATTATAATTATCTAGATCTATAAAAAACAATATAAATTATAATCTTAGAATATAATACTTATATATAAATTAAGTTTATATAATATAAACCCTATAGAGAACTAAAACTAATTCTAATATTAGAATAACTATAGTAATTAATATTCTTTAATTATATTATTAAACTACTATTATTAAAAGAATTTATAATTAGAGTAGAATATAATAATATTTTAATAGTTATTAATAGATTTATAAAATATAAATACTTTATTTTATATAAGAAAATAAGCTCTATAGAAGATTTTATATACTAGTTTTTATAATATATAATTAGTTACTATAGATTATTTAATAAAATTATATTAAATAAAGAAATAATATTTATCTCTAAGTTTTAATAATTACTTATAGTATAAATAGATATTAAATATAAGCTTTTAATAATTTATTATCTATAGAGTAATAATTAAATAGAATAACTAAATTAAACTCTAGAATAATATCTATAAGTATATATTAATTATAAATAAAATAATTAGATATAACTATTACTAATAGTATAGATTACTTATAATAGCTTAATATAAGAATCTATCTAACTAATATCTATATATATAAATTATAATTATAAGTTATAATTTTAGAATTAATTAAAACTTAATAGATCTAATATATTAGCTATTATATTAATAAAGAAAATACTATATTTATTATATATAGAAATAAAAATAGAATTTAAATTTATCTAAAAAAGAATAAAAAAATACTATAATAAAACCAGATTAAAAAAACTAATTCTAAAAGAGAAAAATAAGATCTATTTACTTTATAAAAATATTATAATAATAAGACTAAGTAATAAATTAAACTATAAAAAATTAGAACTATTTAAAATCCTTAAGAAAAAATTAGATATTAATTATAAACTCTTATTACTAGATATAATATATATTTATCTAGTTTTTTATATTTTATTACTTAAAAAGATTATAGTATATTAAACTAAGATTATCTAATTAAGATTTATAAAGAAAAATTTAAACTAGAAAAAATTCTAAAAAAAGAAGTTAGAAATAGATAAATATTTTATTTAGTAAAATAGAAAAACTATAATAAGAATAATAATATATAGAAACCTATTAAATATTTAAAGAATTACTATTAACTTATTTAGTAGTTCTATTAATAGGAAAAAAGAAAGAATTAGAAAACTCTAATAGAATTAAAGTCTAGTTAATAATTCCTATAGTATCTAGAGATTATATTATATCTATAGCTTATTATTCCTCTAAAATAAACTCCTCCTAAGAATAAATTCTATTCTATTTATTTAAATTCCTAATTCTTTAATAAAATAGATATTAGGATTTCTCCTATATAACTTAATACTAATAATAAAGATATAAAATCTTTACTAAGGCCTTTTAAAGTACTATCTTAAAAGAAATTAGTTTAATATTTAGCTAATCTTTCTCTATAACTAACTACTTTATTATAGAGATTAGTAAATAAAAGAATATATATTAAATAGAGAAAAATATATATTATAATACTATTTCTATACTATTATATAACTATTCTATATAGATATATTTACTATAATATAATAATAACTTAATTATATAATATACTTTTTTATACTTAAAGTAATTTAAATAAGATATTATCTTAATATCTATCTTCTTAATTAATAATATAAGAACCTTATATTATTAGGATTTCTTAGAAATAAGCTATAATATTATTAATAATATAGAGAGAATAGTTAAAAAATAAAGAATTTACTTACTAAATACTAAACTATAAAACTTAGTCTTAGAATAAAACTAATAGAAGGAGAGTAATATATTATAAATAAAGAAATACCCTTAGTATTATATATTATACCTCTACTTTTTCTTATTAATAAAGAGAGAATTACTCTAGATTACTAGTAAGCCTTTATAAGCTATCTAGTATATATATATATATTTATTTTACTAGATAGAATATTTCTTTAGATAGTTATTAATATAATTATCTATATATCTATTACTATTAGCTCTATAATACTTATATATTAATAATAACTTATATTATATAGTTTAAAATAATCTAATTATACTACTCAGAATAATATCCTAATTAGTTTAATCCTAATCTACCCTAGACTCTATCTAGTATAAGTTATCTAATTATTATATAAGTTTATTAGAATAGATATTTCTAGCTCTAATAATATTATTAAATAAACTTTTAATAATTCTTTAAATATTTAATAAATTTCTATATATTATTCTTATTAATATATTCTTTCTATTTAACTAGATAGAATATTTATTTATTTCTAATTTCTTTCTTTAGAATTTCTTTTAATTTATACTCTTTTTTATAAATTTTAATTATTATATAAAACTATATTTAATCTTTTAATTAATATATAATAACTTTATAATTAATTATTATATTTTTCTTTAAATATTTTAAAATAATAATTAATTTATTTATTATAATTCTAAATATTATTTAGCTACGTCTTTCCCTAACAGGTAGGCTCCCGTGCACACAGCCTATCCAAACCACAACGATCTTTTATTATTACAATTCTATTCCTCCCCGCTTCCGTCGTCGCATCTATATCCGCATAAACTTCATATTGCCCCAAGATTTGCCTCATTGTTCGAAACTCTAAGCGCAGCACGCAAGTTCCTGGTCAAACCGGCCACCCGTACACCGTCACGTTGACGCGTTGCTCAGACCATCCCCAAAACATGGCTTGCCAATTCACAGACGCTGACCGCGCTCGTGCACAAGCGTATCTCGACGCCATGCAAGATGCCATGACTGCCATTCCCGAGTAAGATCCCGAGCGCATCCAAGCAGCCCGTGAAGAAGTCGCCCGCGCGCACCCAATTGACGATGCGCTTCGCGAGGCTTATTATAGTGCCGAGCTGCTGAATAAGATGGCTGACCCCGTGTCCGTGTCACACGTGTCATCTAACTTCCTCAAGCCTGATGCGCCCTGATGTTTGGTCGTGTACCGCGGTTCATTCAGTAACGGTGCAGCTTGGGAGCGCATGTTGGTTCGGATCCGTCATGATGTTGATACGGCAGCAAGGGACTGATGCTGATGATGGAAACCTCGACCGGGAGGGCGGAGTGACGAACAATGAGTTTGAGGACGTGGGCTGGATGTACATGCAGGGGTGCGATTATTATGCTCTAAGACAGGCGATAGCACCCGAACACGCCTAGAGCACACGTGGCTGCATGATAGGTGCAGATAACGCTGACAAAACCCCCCTTTGACCATGTCTAACTACCTGCCATGAATAAAAACGTCCGCCCCTCCTTGGAATCCGTGCATGGGACGGTGGGGGATTACGAACCACCAATTCAAATGTTATTAGTTGCGGCGAGCACCAAGAAGAGAAGCCATGAGTGAGCCGGTCAAAGATTCCCCTCTCAAGCTGCCACTGGGGCCAGACGCCTTGCGCGCTTCATTTGGTGATCGGAAAATTGACGTCAGCCGGAAGATCACTGCATGTGTGGGTACGAGAAGAGCTCTGCCACGGTCCTCCTTCGTCTGCTAACGTGCTCTGATCACAGCATGCAGAAAACAAAAGGTGACGATCAGTTATCCTCCCCACGGCACTGCTTTGATATGCAAATTAATATGTTTTCTTGTCGAGAAAAGATAAAATGCCACATGCCTGATGCGTCCGTGCCTTGCGGACGATGTAAGAAGCGAGGACTGCCGTGTACAGTCAATCGATCACTGCAGATGCTGCTCGAAGATGATGCCTCGTAAGCGACAAGCTGCTGCCTTTCTTTTTCGAGTATTGGCGTATCCTAGCCTGATTTTTGCTCTGCGCTCTTCTTCAAATTAGTGTGTTTATTCTTACTCCATCACAGGTGGAAGCAGACTGTCACTAGGAAGATCACTGCCCTTGAGGAATTCATGGAGTCAGCCCGTGAGCAATTGAATACGCGTGCTGGTGAATCTGCCCAAGAAAAGCAGCCTAGCCGCCAAAGCGATTCCTGCTCACCCTCCACCAGCGACCAGTCTGCCAAACGTCGTCGCCGCGACTGGGAAATCCGCATGGATACACAAAGTGGCCCGGTAACTATCCCCGCCGCCTGCATTGGCGAGGTCGAAGGGGAACGTCCTTTAGGCCCAGAGCAGCCGTCGAGCCCGCCCGATATCATATCCGAAGGCATCGTCACCCTAGATCAGGCGGAAACCCTGTTTCATACATATTCAAAACGTCTGGATCACTTTCTCTACCGCATCCTTGAACCCATGTCAAGCTTTAGCACGGTACGCGAACGTTCACCGGCGCTCCTTGCTGCCATATGCACGGTCGCTTCCCTTCATTCCGAAGACTTGGGCCATCTATTTGAGGGGTGCCACGAGCATTTTGTCACGCTTGCATCACAACTGTCAATGTCCGAGGCAGTAAATAATGAAGACATACGAGGCCTTTGCATCGGGGCATTCTGGCTTCATGGACTGTCCTGGAATCTGGTCTCGATAGGTAAGGGGCATTGTGACCTAGAATCCTTAAACGGCAGCCTTTTATGCTTGTCTTTTCGGGATCATCAACAGCTGATATATGCTTCGCGCATACATGCATAGCCGTCAGAGCAGCCACCCAAAACCAGCTGCATCGATTTTCTCGAAAGGTGCCCCTTGGGGACAGAACCGCGTACATGCACACCCGCCTCTGGTATCTGATCTACGTGTGCAGCCATCACTTTAGCATCCCTTATGGACGGACTCCCATGATTCCAGAATGCGAGGCTATCAGCTCCGTCTCCACACTTCTTGCTAGCCAGCATGCCACTTCCGATGATGCACGCCTAGTCAGTCAGGTGCAAATTTGGACGATCCTTGGTCGGGCTGCCACATCCTTCGGCTTCGATGTTGACGAACAGATCCCCGTAGAATCTATTCCCCGCCTACGAAGATACATCATAGCGCTCGACACCTGGAGAGCGGAGTGGGATGAGCGATTTGGGCCAAGTGAGTTCGTGGGCGAGTATCCCCGAAAAGGCGTTGGGATGCATTACCATTTCACTAAGCTTTATCTCTGCACGCATGCTTTGCGTGGGCTAGAATCCCGCCCAGCTGGCCAAGTTACTGAGACTCGGATAGCTAGAGAGGCGGAAAGCATGGACAGACTTACCCCTGGCTCCTCCAACAGTTGGAAAACGGGATCTAGGATTCATCCAGAACTTGAAGAGATTGGCTCAGTGGCTATCAGCTCGGCCAAATCCATTCTACGACTAATCATACGTGACCCCGAGTTTCAGTCATACCTCCATGGATTGTCTCTTTACTTTGACACCATGATCATTTTTGCTGTCGTCTTTCTCCTCAGAATCGCAACGCAATATTCCGACATCGTTCCCGTTGACAAGTCTGAGCTTTTGGACCTTGTTTGTGAGTTAAGTCGGACTCTCACATCCGTTACAGACAAGATTCATAGCCGACACTTGCTCGTCGTTATTTGTAAGGGGGTCAAGGATTTGTCAATACGGTACTTGCAAGAAGTCGAAAGCAACATGGCCGGAAATGAAGTCGAGACGACACAGGGGCAAGCGCTCGGACTGCTAGATCTCGAGAACGAGACGAGACAGCATTCTAGTTCGGATGGGTTGCTATTAGACAGCGAGAACATAGGTTTTGATTGGACGGATTTTGATTTTTTGGCAACACAGGATCCATTTCTCGGAAATGCATCATGGACTTTTGGCGTGTGAGATTGGCGCTCTGTGCACAGTCACCAACTATAAGGGAAAGAGAGGCTCTCATTAGATTGCATAAATACCAGAAATAAAGTGCTATATAGTCAGATACCTACCTTTTTTTTTTTCGTAATGACTAGATATGTCTTGATGTTGGCAGCAGTAAGGCGTCATTGTGGGAGGAGACTGGAACCAAGAGCTCAGCTGCAGCGAGAATCAATCACCTTCTGCCTTTGGGTACATTGCCTCCCTATTATCTCCATATCCATAATGACGTTGCCAATACCACGGATAGGTTGGTGGGCTTCATTCCTGGTTCAGATGTTTCTTCCAGTCACTCACTAGCGTAGAACAAACCGTGCAATTACATTACAAACGAGTAAAGCTTCTAGCTTTTCCCTGTATAGAGTACTCCCTAATGCCCTGAGTGAAAACATCCAGGGGTGCTATTTCCGTTTGAAGGCCGGAGCGAAAGGATAGAGGGGCCGGCATGAAGTCCGACACTTGGCTTGTCAGCATGCCGGCAAGAAGCCCGCGCGGTCTCCTCGTCAGCCGGCAATTTGCGAGTGTAGCCACCCCTCAACATACCAACAGTTTGAAACCGTGTCACGTACCATCCGAGTATTACAAACATTTACTGCATCTTGCCCACCTTATATTTTACATCTCACATAAATCAACAGGCGTTTCATTCAACTTGCCACATGAATACACACACTTTTGGTTATTAGCCTTACTACACTCCCCTCTTCACACCCCGGTATCGACTGCTGAAACTACTCATGTCTCCCACTCCACAGCAAGTCAATTTCTTTCGCGAGCAAGGCTACCTTGTTCTACGAGCAGACGAGCACAAGCTCGTAACGCCGGAGGAGCTCAAAACTTGGACTGAAGAAATTGCAGCATGGCCGCGCGCGCCCGGGAAATGGATGCCCTATGATGAGACTACAGCCTCTGGAGAGAGACAGCTGATGCGAACCGAGAACTTTACTGACTACCACAATGGTTTCAAGAAGCTTCTTCTGGGCGATTCCCTCAGGGGTGTTCTTGCTGAAGTGACTGGCGATGTAAGTGATCACTCACTATTAAGCCGTTTTCTTCTCTTAGCCTTGAGCATTCAATTTCTTTTTGTCAATAAATACAAAAAAAAAAAAAAAAAGAGGCCAAAAAGAAGGGGAAAAGACCTCGAGACTAATACTGTTTCAAAGGAAATGCTTCTTTTCAAGGACAAGATCAACTACAAGCTACCTAACGGAAACGGGTTCGTTGCACACATTGATGGGCCAGCGTATGATCATATTGGCCGCATCGAACACACCACAGCTAACCTTGCTGTTGACGCGGCGACTGTTGAGAACGGCTGCCTTGAAGTCGTTCCCGGCTCTCACAAGATGGACATCGAACTGTCCCTTGGCAGCAGGATAGCCGATCGCTGGGTTGAATCTCACGAGTGGGTTCAGGTGCCTCTCAACCCCGGTGACTTGCTCATCTTCGGAAGCCACATGGCCCACCGAAGTAGCCCAAATAAAAGCCCTTTTAGAAGGGCAAGCCTTTATGCTACGTACTACTGTCGCAAGGACGGTGAGGACTTGAGACAGAGGTATTACGCAGACAGGAGAATCAACTTCCCCCCTGACCACGGTGAGTTTCGAGCCATTGTCTTCCCCATGAGGTTGTAAATATCTTCGTCTGACCACACAATTCTCTGCAGAGCGCGACCCCGAGAAAGATTATTCTGCGGGCTTCAAGGTTTATGCTTCGGCCGCACCTTTCACTGCAGAAAATGCAGATACACTTGCTTCCACCGTTGCGGCGAGCTAGGCATGATTTCTTATCGATGGTTGGGGATCTGATCTCCCCAAGAGTAAACATATGCTATTGCGAATGAAATAAGTTGCTCAATAAATGGAAAAATTGAAGAAACCTTTTTATTCAAATTCCCTCGTGAGCTGATTATTGTGTGATATATCCAGAATGCTACTTTGATAACAATAGTACTTTCTCACATTCACCAAACCTCAATGTACATTAAGGAAGAAGATAGAGACATGACCGACTCAAACCCGCCTTTCACAAAGAGCAAATCAATTCAACTGGTGAGGCTCTTATCTCTTCAGCCATTTGTAACGGGATAATAGAGAAAAACCATTTGAAGATTAAATTTGAGATACACGTGTCAAAGGGAAACATGGCAGGACATGAATAGGTCATACACTCTCTCTTCTGGACTATGAAATATAAAGCTCATTTTTAGGTTCATTATGGCTATTTTGGTGAGCTTAAGGTTCTCCCGGCCAAAGTTCATCGGCCAGTGCTCGCACAAGTTTTAATTTGGCTACCATATCATCGCACGTGATGAGGTTACCAAGATGGGAACTTGCAAACCCACACTGAGGGCTGACACTCAATCTATCCAACGCCTCTTGTAGTGACTGGCTGGCCCCTCTTGCCATGTGGGTAGCGGCGTCAAGAACTTTGGCCTTTAATTCAGAAAGTTCCTCCAATCTGGGAAATTTGCTGGAGATGACGCCGAGGATAACGTTCTTGTGGCCCGGAAGGTGTTCCAGGGGCTCGAATGTTCCCGATCGTTCCGTGTCATACTCGAGATAGTATGTGTCAGCGTTGATTTCCTGAAAGAGCTTGATAGAGACGGGATCATATCCTCCTTCGGAGACATGTCGGCTGAGTGCATTACCCCGACAGACATGGATGGCAAGATGCATATCTGCAGGGCGGATAATACATCCGTTATACAGCCTAACATAGCTGTCAAAGAGGGAGTCTATATCTTCCCCAGCCTCCTTGAAGCCCTGGATCATCATTTCCGAGCAGAAATCTAATTCGTTGCACATTGCGTTAACGATGGCTTTCTATGTGCTACAAAGAGTGTATCCTTTGCTGACTTACATGCCAAGTTTGGATCATCGATTGTGACGTGCCTGCAGCCTGCGTTATAAAGAATTTGCAACTCTGTGCGATATGCCTGAGCAATATCATTGAGGTAGTCTTCGTCGTTGGTGTATGCTTCCTTGGTGTACGCTCGACCTTTCTTGTAGCGCAGATGAAACAGCTCCGGATTAGGCAATGAAATCTTGGCATCCTTCACTTGGTCTGGAGAAAGCAGACTCTTGATGGTGTTCCATTCAGTGAGAGCGCCGCTTCCGACGTGCTCGATCTTCGAGGTACAGATGAGGAGCTCTCCAGAGATAGAAGCAAGAGTCTTATCGGCTGTTTCGTCGTCCAATCAGTACTGAGGCACAACACTGGGTGATTTGACTGGACGGGGAGTCAAAGAAGGGAACCTACTCCAGCAAACAGAATCCGGAACATACGGACGAAGTAGCTCTGCTGGATCTCTGACACGCAACTCTTCAAATCCTTTCAGATTGTAGAATATGGGGCCCCAGAAGTCCCGACGCCGATACTCTCCATCAGTGACAGCGCGAAAGCCGAGTTCCTGCTGCAATCTTACAACTTGTTGAATGGCTTCGTCTTCCGCCTTTCTCATGCCGGCATCGCCTCTGATTTCATTGGCGGATTTATTAGCGGTCTCGAGAGCCAGACGCTTCTGTTTTAGGCTTTCGGGTCTAAGTAGTGAGCCAACATGCTCCGCCCGGAAAGGTCGGAGACGAACCCGGGTTTCAGACATTGAAGAAGAATGGGTCGATCGTTGAATGCAAGGTCGGAGGATGGTATGGCTAGAGCTTATCAAAATGGTGAATTATAACAGTTGGCAAGTAGAGTTGTTTCTTATCATCGTGCACCGGTCTTCTTGCCGGTACAGCGTTGTCAGATGGAGGTTGAGGGGGCTCGTAATTGCGGTATATACAGCACGTCTCGGCCCAGACGAGACAAGTGCTATTCCCCAATCCCACGTGGGCGACTAAGCGGGCGTCCATTGAGGTCACCACCACTGGTGTCGTCTCAAAGTTCAAGTTATGGCTTTTCGATGGGGCGCGCCTTAGTCCACAAGGGCGCGAACCCCAGCCTACTTACCGATGGGCTTGTGCTCGCCATGGCATGCCAAGGCGGCCGTTTATGATTGGTCCTTTGATGGCGGCACGAAGACCTCGACAACTCGGGGCCAAACGGCGAAGGTCGCCCGAAGTGCTATGCTGGCAGCCTTGCCGCTGTCCGAGGGGAAAACCCAAGATGTTATGCTATCCACCAACAAAGCCTTGCATCAACCTAGTCTAGAGCGTCGCAATACTCCTGTACATTTCAAATAAATATAGATGAGCTTGCACCTCAGTGATTAAATTCGCATTGCACCTGTTCAAACGTCGCTTGTCGATAGTTTTTAAACTCCTATCCACGGAGCAGCGCACTTGGCCTCCATACAATTCGCGCCCGTGCAGAAATACATCAAGATTCCGCCAATACCTCCCAAAACTCATTTCTCAATATATCCGTCATGACAGCGACGATGCATGGTGATGCTGTCCCTGGGACGCTGTATCTTATCAACATTGATGGTAATGGCGAGACCGTCGTCGGCAAGACCGAGGGCGACATCCAGCTATACCCACGCCCCAGCAACAATTCTGAGGATCCCCTCAATTGGAGTTCCCGTCGAAAGACCGTTGTCCTCTCTCTAACTATCCTTTGGGTATTGGCTATCGGAAGTGCATATGCTTTCCCATTTTCACTGCTTGCCGACATCACGCATGAAACAGGCATATCCACTACCGACCTTGTTCAGGCCAGTGGCATTCTAAGCTTGACCTGCGGATGGGGCTGTCTGATCTGGGTGATTTTCCCCTTCACTACGTTCCTTGATTTTTTTTTTTTTTTTTTTTTTGGAAAATTCTGGCTAATCTTTTCCTGGTGATGTCTCAGCAACCTGTTGTAGCAACGTACGGTCGCCGTGGCATGTATGTGCTATCGCTTGCTCTATGTGTGCCCCTTACATTTTGTAAGTCTTGGATCTTCAAAAGATGGCCAAGATCTTGTTCTAAGTATCGCTATTATAGGGTGTGCTTATCTTTCAACGGCCTGGGAGTGGTATGTGGTCAGAATTCTCTACGGGCTTGCCATGGCACCAATTGAGACCCTGCCAGAGGTAACTATTGCCGATGTATGCTTCGCCCATCAAAGAGGAACTTGGATTAGCTTCTACGTCGTCGCCCTGTTTGGGTCAACCTATATCGGCCCCCTGATCTCTGGGTGGCTTACAGTTGCCATTGGATGGAGGGACACTATGATGTTCATCGGAGTTGCCTGCATCGCCTCACTGATTCTCGTTTTCTTCTTCATGGAGGAGACAATGTTCATCAGAAAGGCCCTAGAAGGCCTCGAGGACGAGGTATCCGAGGCTTCTAGCCCTACCCTCTCGGTCTGCGAGGCCCAGAACGCCGAAGTGAAGGCTGCGGTTAAGATCAACAATCAAATTGCAGAGCCGCCAACACAGAAGAAGACTTACTTCCAAAAGCTCGCTCTCTACTGTTTGCTCCCTGGTCGGCCAACCGTCAAACAAATGTTTCGAAACACTTATATGCCACTCGTATTCATTATTCAGTTCCCAATCATTGCTTGGTGTGGTTTCATTTACGGAATCAACATTTCTTGGTAGGTTTCTCCTTGGGAGAATGAGAAATATGCTGCTAACGCCCATCATAGGTTTAGCGTTATGAACTCGACTACAAGCCCCATTCTTTCTGCTGCCCCATACTACTTCTCTTCTGGGCTTGTCGGATCTATGTACGCTGGGCCCATTGTTGGAACCCTGTTGGGATGTTGGTGGGCTGGCTGGGTAGTGGACTACCTGACCTTGAAACTTGCTCGACGCAACGGAGGAGTGCGTGAACCTGAGCATCGCCTGTGGCCTCTAGCCGTTTCTGCCGTGCTCTCTTGCGCTGGACTCATCATGTATGGAGTTGGTGCTCAACACCAGGCGCCTTGGATAGTCCTCGCCATCGGCCTTGCGCTGCTCACCTTTGCCGTCGTCACAGGAAGCTCCATAGCTCTTTCTTACAACATTGACTGCTTCAAGGACATATGCAGCGAGTCTATAACATCAGTCATTGTTATTCGCAATACCATGGGTTTCGCCTTTTCCTACGCCATCACACCTTGGTATACCAACATGGGACTGCAGAATTGTTTCATCATGGCAGGTTTCCTGTCCTTGGGTTCGTTGCTGACCTTCCTCGTCTTCACATGGAAGGGCAAGACTCTCAGAAAGATTGCGGCTCCTCGGTACTACAGATATATCGAACAGAGTTTTACGCACGAATGACATCTTGGATGCTACCGGTTTCTGCTCGGCCGAACACGACATTGAGGTGCCAAATGCGTACATTGAGGCGCTGGGGCAAATAATTCACGTTATCAAGTGGTAATGAAATATTGCCTCTGCTGCTTAGGGTTTTTGCCCCTTTTGCTTTGCTTTCACCTAGCACCCGTGCTCTGTCTATTAATCTCAAGCAGGGAGTGATAAGGTTTTGGAGGGAGAAGTGCGCGATTTCTTAGACATAGTCGTTATTTTGCTTTTTCTTTTTCACCAGTCCCATCTCTTGATTAGATTAGTGCTTTTGAACAATATCTCGATACTGCCTACAAAACATTGGTTGACTATACCTGTTTGCAAGTGAATAGTGGGCTTTCATTCCGAAAACTCATACACATCACATTACCAACCATCGCCTTATAAGCGATCGCCCGCACTTATTTTTTTTATAAACTTTTTTAACTATTTCGCAATTCTGCCCTATAAAAAAAATTAAACAAGCATTTGTTTCTCCATGCTTGCTCCAACTCCACTATGAGATGCTGGTCAGGAGGGCTTAGGTCAACTCCCCCCCCTGTGGTGATATCATATTTAACTATATTGACTGTATATTTGCTTCTGGCTAGGATGAAGAGTATCTGACAGGACTCTTCCCATCCTCTTAGTTGAGATAGGACATATTATAGCATAATACTGGGGCCTTAGAAATACGGGGACAGGTGTCTCGGCAGCCTCCCACTCACTGAACCGCTATAGGCCCAAGAAAACGAGGGAACTTGGCAGTACATGGATGGCGCAACGCAGCGTGGATAGCTAACCAGCCCATTCTTAGCCGTCTACTAACTTGGAGTTGGCTAGGCTGAGAAATATGTCACTCAAGGAAGAGAGGTGGGCTTTTGCCAATCGGCCACGCACGTGCACACCCAACTAGTCTAATATCTCCGGAGCAAGAAAAAAAAAAAAAAAAAAAAAATAACACGTGTAACAGATGGCGGTCTGGTCATCCGCACTCAGAATGTCGGCCCGGTTCCGATGCCAGGAAGGTATTTGTCAACCACTAGTGATTCCCTTCCCTATTGCGCTTTTTCGAGCCCGGACAACGTCGGCGAGCTCGGCTTTTTATGGGCCTAGAAGTATATATCACAATTCACCTAGTAAATATATATCAATTCAATTGGGCCAGCATTGTAGATTGGGGCGTACTTAGTATTCTGAAGGGGCAGCGCGTGTGCTTTTTCCATCAATTGACCACCATGATAAGAAACAGTTACCTTTTCTGGGGTTTGGAGGGTCTCGCAATCTCCACAAGCTTTGCACTTCGGTCCAGAGCTGTGGCATTTGTCAGATGGGTAAGTCAAAATAGGTTTCTCTGTGTTCATATATTAGCACTGTTTAGTAACTCTTGCTCACGGAGAATCAACACGTTATAGAATCCATGGGGTCAGCTCCTCCTAGAGAAGATTTGTGGTCTATGGGCTCTCTTCCTTGTTATTTGGATCACGCAATATTCCCTCTGGGCAACAACACCGAGAAATTACCCATCACAAAGCCTCAAAATACCTGCGTGGCTGTCTGTTCTTCTGGGTAGATTCGACCCGCAGTCGTGGAAAGCCTCTATCGCCACGCTTGGGGTGAATACCTTGTTCCTCCTGGCGGCTGTCGATTTCGTTTATCGCAGCTCATTGCTCCACGAAAGCCGAAACTTGAGCTTTTCACGTATGGGGCACACCAACGCTTCAAATGCGAACATCGTCTTCAGATATCCGGCTGAGGCTAAAGTCAGGATTCAGTATCGTCCCCAAACGGGTGCGGAAGCTTCCACATGGCTGAATGGTCCTGTAACATCTGTCACATCACACAGTGATTATATTGGGTCATTCTTGCTTCGGAATCTTGAGCCCGACACCAAGTATCAGTACAGAACCAATGCTAGCCATAGCGGAACGTTTAGGACACCTTCCAAGCATCCCAAACGGTGGACACTGGTCTCGAGCAGCTGTATTAAGCCTTTCTATCCCTACAATCCCCTCGACCATGCCTTGAGCATGCGTGGTTTTGCGCATCTCTCTCGCTACATTGAGAACACCCAACCAGATATGATGCTGTTTCTTGGTGATTTTATCTATATTGATCTGCCGAGACGTTTTGGATACGAGACAAAACACTATCAGAATGCCTACAGGCAGATATATGCCTCGCCTAGCTGGACGGAAACCCTACGGGCGCTGCCTTGGATACACACTTACGATGATCACGAGATCACCAACAACTGGGATGCCAACGAAACGGGAATCTACCATCAGGCTATTTCCCCATTCATGGTTTATCAGTATCTTGGCAATCCAGAACCGCCCAAGCCCAAAGTCACTTACCATCAATTTTCCCATGGAGATGTTTCCTTCTTTTTGATGGACACACGCCGATATCGGTCTCCGTCTTCAGACCCCGATGGAGAGCACAAGTCAATGCTTGGGGCTGAGCAACGAAAAGATTTCGAGGACTGGATTAGGAATGCTCCAGGTTGGAAAGTTGTGGTTACTGGCGCTCCATTCACACGTAATTTCAGGAGTGCGGATAACCAAGATACTTGGGCCGGTTACCTGTGGGAGAGACAAAGACTGCTGAATCTGATGTGGGAAACGGATGGTGTTATCATCCTTAGTGGTGTAGGTCGTCCCCTTATCGTTCCAGGCCGGACCTACCTTGACCCTTTTTTTAACAACTTTTATCATAGGATCGCCATGAACATGCGACGACGGCATTCCCTCGTCTCGGGCACAATGACTCTTCTGTCATTGAATTTTCTACTTCACCACTTAATCAGTTCCTACCTCCTGCTCCTGACTACGAGCAAATAGAGGATACAGATGTGGGGATTTACTTTTTACACGCTGGTGAATCCAAGTTTGGGGCCATCACATTTGACACGTCAGATGAGATGGTGTGGCGAGCGGAATTCGAATTAATTGTAGATGGTGAGAAAAAATGGGATTACGTGATTCTGCAAGAAAGATCAAAAGAAAAGAAAACTAGAAACTAAGTCGTGCTATGCCATTTCATTGTTGGGGCTGGGATGGACGCAAGCCGAGTTTCCAATTAGCTTCTCTTTTGCACATACTAGGTCGTTTGAGATTAAAAAACCCCTATGATAAAGCAAGTTAGATTGTTATTGAGCATCTTCCGTATTTCTCACTCAGTATGAGACAGGAAATTTATCCCAGTGTAGTTGCTACAACTCATGCGTGTGGACTATCATCCTCGTAGGCGATCTTGTACAATCGGCCGTAGCATGCCACTCAGGGATCGCGATAAGATCCTTGGCAATCCATGAAACTCGAATTCAGCATTCAGATCAGCATTATTCGCGATCCACTCTCGCACTTCTTGCCGTAAGCTGCGTCTCGGCCTGAGCCCGACCTGGGCTGTTACGCCGTGCGGCCTTTACACCGGCCTTTCCCCGCCTCATCTGCTTTCTGTTCCAATATATTCCAATATGCCAACCGCAATGGAGAGCAAAAAAATTAAAGGATAATAGCTGATTCCCCTTTTGGTGTCGATAGTGGAAGTGCCAGCCCTCTCTTTCGAATTTATCACGGAGGTATTGATAATTTACATCAATTTTCGCCTTTATTTTTTTTTTATTTTCGCCACCAATACCATGGCTCTGCCATCAGTGGAAGAACATACACGAGCTACGATTCGCGAGCTCTTCTCATTCATCTTAGCACAGGGCCATACCGAATACCTCGGCGAGTCCGTGTCTCAGCTCCAGCACTCTCTTCAAAGTGCTTTACAGGCTCAGCAAGATAACTGCGATGATGAGACGGTCCTGGCCGCTCTAATGCATGATGTTGGGCGATTCATCCCCGCCGCGGACAAGATGCCCAAGCTAATTGCTCCTGATGGCTCATATATTGGCCGAGCAAGCCATGATATACTAGGCGAACGGTATCTGCGACAGCTTGGTTTTAGCGAAAAGGTCTGCCAGTTGGTCGGCTCTCACGTTACGGCCAAGAGATACCTCTGCGCCGCAGAGAATGGCTACTGGGAGTCACTTAGTCTGAGCAGCAAAAGAACCCTTGAGTACCAGGTAAAGAAGGACGAGGACAGGCCTATTTCTTTCCATTGATTGAGGCTAATCCTCTGCAACAGGGAGGAAGATTCACTCCGGAGCAAGTAAAGGAAGCTGAAAATGATCCCTGGCTTCAGGAGAAGCTGGCCGTTAGGCGATACGACGACTTGGCCAAGAACCCAGATGCTATGACACCTCCTCTAGAGGCGTACCAAGAAATGGCTTATAAATGCCTTCTAGGTATATCATTTCCAAGCATCAAGAGAGATTTCTATTGGATAAATTTTAACTTTGATTTAGAATCTAGATCATTCATCAATCTGAACTCCCGCACATATGCTCTCCCTACGAAGCCAACTGTTGTTGTCTGCATTGACGGCTTTGATCCAAGCTATCTCAGACATGGTATCTCGACTGGCACGCTCCCTCATCTAGCTAGTCTGATGGAGAAGGGCTTTTCCACAACAGCCAAGTCGGCTATGCCGTCTATTACCAATCCGAACAATGTTTCAATTGTCACAGGCGTGCCTCCATCAGTCCACGGTATTGCTGGCAACACCGTGCTGGATCGTGCAACTGGAGAAGAGGTGAGCATCAGCGACGCAACGCATCTTCGAACCGAAACTATCCTGTCTTTGCTATCGAGGCACGGTGTACGTGTTGCCGCCGTTACTGCCAAGGAAAAGCTGAGACAGATTCTCGGTCACCAGCTCCACGGGGCCATTTGCTTCTCAGCTCAGAAGGCAAAGTCCTGCAAGCTCTCCCAGGAAACAGACCTAGACATAGAAACATGGATGGGACGCGCCACTCCTGACCAATACTCGCCTGATCTGTCCCTCTTTGTTATGGATGCTGGCGTCAAGCTTCTCGACGAGAATCGGGCAGACTTCCTTTATCTTACACTCTCCGACTGGGTCCAGCATAAGTATGCCCCAGGAGAAAAAGAGGCTGATACTTTCATGACTCAACTGGACGTGAGCATTGGCCGTCTTCTTGAGCTCGGCGCGCGAGTGGCCATCACGGGAGATCATGGTATGGCCAGCAAGACCAAGCCTGACGGTACACCAAACGTTGTCTACCTCCAAGATGAGCTTGAAGCACGGTTCGGAAAAGGGTCGGCGCGCGTTATTTGCCCAATCGCAGACCCTCTTGTGAAACATCATGGGTCATTCGGCGCATTCGTGAGAGTCTATGTATCCAGTGAGTACAAGGAGAGTATTTCCGAAATGATCAAGTATTGCGCGACGCTGGAGCATGTCGACGTAAGTCTCAGTGCTACTGACGCTGCCGAGAGATTTGAGTTGCCTTTGGATCTCGAAGGCGATTTTGTCGTGACATCGGGCCGGGATTCAGTCATTGGAAGTTGTCGCAAAGACCACGATATTGGAAGCCTTGGAGGCCTTCGCCTTAGGTCGCATGGAGGCATTGCTGAACAGGATGTTCCGCTCATTCTGTCATGCCCTGTTCAAGATGGTGCTGCCGCCGCGGAAAGAAAATGGAGGAATTTCGACGTTTTCGACTTGGTTTTGAATTGGTAATCACATCTATCAAGGATTACGGGTATACTTATTCATCAAAGAAGAAGCAGAGGGAGAAGGAAGGACTTTTGGATAAAACACAGTCCATACATTGATTTTTCTTCGAATTTGCTACCCCAGTGCTATAATTTAGAAGTTGGTTCTTTCAGTTTCATATCGTCAACCCTCATTAAGAGGCGAAACATATTCCATGGAAATTGTACAACTTGCTATTTCACCTCTATCAAGTCTAGATTCAGATACACAATTGTGAACATGGAAGAGTAGATCACCGGGTTCAATAGCATTGAATCCTTATACTAGCTTCAGCTCAAGAACTTCACTTCAACGGAAGAGAAAGGTGATGTATTATCAACTAAAAAGTCCTGTACAGCTTCTATATACGCTCCAGAATTCAGCCTAAAGGTAAGATAGGCGAAGAGGTAGAATATTAATCTTCTCTTGCATACGTCAATTAATTTTTCACGCAGAAATGGCATATTATGCATTAAAAAATCCATGACATTACTAGTGTCATCATCTTTGGGTCACGTAGAACAATCTTCGGCTACGCACCATCGGTGTTCGCCGACCTTTCCTAAGAAAGTTCGGTGTCGGCGCCGGCCGCCGAACTCGATGCATAATATGTTACCAATAGTATGTCGAGGCTCGGCGTAGCCCCGACCGCAGAGGCAATAGTCATAACAAATTTACCAACGCTTACAAACGATAGAGAGCTTTCAGGTGCGCAAATAGTTAATTCAGAAGAGGAAAATCCTTTTTATGTGTCTAGCATCGCAGCTCAGGAAGCAATCCTAATTTTAACATCAAGCATTCAACATGACAACTACTTTCCAGAGCATTCCAGTTATCGATTTTGGCAGACTCCAAAATGAGGCGACAAAGGCTCAAGGTCTGGAAGAGCTTCGTGATGCCATTTTCAACGTTGGCTTCCTGTATTTAGTCAATACAGGGCTCGAGGTAAAATATCCTCCACCGCATCGTATTTATGAGCTTACAACTCACACCTACGCTAGCCGATGATTGAAGACGCACATAAGTTCACGCGCGATATATTCGAACTCCCAGTGCTGGATAAAGCGAGTTGCCACATGAGCAACTCACCTTCGTTCTTAGGTTATAGTGGCTTACGCGAAGAGACCACTGACAAAAAGCTCGACATCAGAGAGGTATGAACGCACAAAATCTTAGAATCCCGGCAAAGCTAAATGGTTTTTGACAGCAATTTGATTTTGGAACTGAGGTTGCCAGTCAAGATCCCGGCGGCGAACTTTGGAGGAAACTGGAGGGCACGGGACAGGTAACTGAAGCACTATCTAACCAGATTATATCGCCTTTCGCCCTGCTAACCTTCCCCATTGTTTCTCTTAGTACCCCAGCACCGAGGTCAAGGCCTTTGTGACAAGCTATATTGCGGCGATGACAAGATTATCAACCAAGTTCTTACATCTCGTGGCTGAATGCCTCTCGTTGCCGCCTACCACGTTCGATCACTTTATTGGGAATACGTCGAGGCTGAAATTCGTGAAATATCCTCCTTCCCAATCAAGTGGCCAAGGCGTCGGTGCCCATAAAGACTCCCTTAGCCTTTTCACTTTCTTATCTCAAGACCAGGTGGGAGGTCTCCAAGTTCTCAATAAGTCTGGTGAATGGATTGATGCTACTCCTATTGCAGGAAGTTTAGTAGTCAATATCGCGCAAGGGTTTGAGGCTGCGACAGGCGGCTTATGCTCAGCCACAACTCATAGAGTGGAGGTACTTATTGCCTCAGTTTCTAATTGACCTTGACATTGTTTCGAAATACTAATAATCATCTTGGCATAGTCTCCTACCAACATCACACGGTACAGTATACCATTCTTCCAAGCTATAAATCTCGACCTCAGCTTCGATGAGATAAAGTTATCGGCTACAAAGATACGAGACGAGATCCCAGTCTCTGATAACGGGAAGAAGCGCGCAGTTGACGTCCCCAGCGATATTATATCTCCATATTTCTCTACGGTGCGTTATCAAAATATATATTAATAGTTGCAAGCCTAATATATTCCTTTTCTTCATAGATTGGGGAAGCACAGCTTGTCAATAGGATCAAAAGTCACCCAGAAGTTGGGAAAAAGTGGTATCCTAAGCTCTTTAAAGAACTTGGTCTAGCGGCTATTTCCTAAGGGTGTACTAGGAATAGGAATTACTACTATATTAAATAGCCTACAGATCTATTATATTAGAGGATCTACTATCCTAGCCTTGGATTAAGAGATATATATTGAGTATATATTTAGTATCTTTTTAATTACTAAATAAGGAGAAGTAAATAAGATACTAATTATAATAAGTAAATATATTAGTATTTATTCTCAGGGTATATTTTCTAAACTATTATTAGTATCTGGGAGAGAGTATTTATAATAAATAGTATATAACCTAAGGTAATAATATTCTGTAAAAATTTTAAAGCTATATAGAATTAAATATCTTTTAATATAGATTAAGCTTATATACTAAGCTCTATTAGCTAATTTTTATTTAGTTTTTTATAATAATAATAGTAATAAAAAAGATAGTTTTTATATTAAATACTATTTATCTCTTTACTTAGAAATATATTATTATAAACTATATTATTAGAATATTTTACTATTTAATAGGGGTTATTCTATCTTAAAGTTAATATAAAGTATACTCTATTAATAAATATATTAAATAGTATTAAATAAGCTCTAGAGCTATTATAAGTTTCTTCTATAGCTTGAGATAATATTAGATTAGTACTACTATTATTAGTATTTTATTATAGCTTAATAGCTAGCTTTATAATACTTATATATTAATAATTACTATATAAATCTATATTTAGTTTTTTAATTAGTATATTATAACTTTATAATTAGTTATTATATTTTTCTTTAAAATAATAATTAACTAATTTATTATAACTCTAAATATTATCTAATTAATCTTATTTAATTTAATTTCTCTATTTAATAAACTTTTTAATATTTAAATTTAATTTTATTCTTTTTTATTTATTTAATATAATTAAACTAAATAAACTTTAAATTTAAGAATAAATTTTAATCTGAATTAATTTAATTTAATATATTATTTACTAAAACTATATATAATAACTTAGATTATAATAATTATTAATATTATATAGTATAACTAAGTATATATAAATAGATATTAAATTAATATTAAATTTATATTATTTAATAAAAATTTTCCTATAGTAGTAAATATATATTATACTTATAGAGATAAATTAACTTATAATCTTAAAAGTAATTAACTTTTTTATTTCTAAATATATATAATTCTAAATTAAATTAAAATAAATTTTAATATATTAATACTAAATCTGATCTAATCTAATTAATATTCTAATCTAAATATAACTAAAAGTAATATAAAGTTTAAATAATTAATTTTTAAGAGCTATTTCTATTCTTATTAATTTAATATAATATATAATATATTAAAACTATAAATTATATATTAGATTATAGTAGATCTATATAAGAGAGTAGCTATTTTTAAGATATAATATTTATTTAAACTAATCTTAATTCTCTATAAGTATCTATAATAGTTATAGATATTATAAGTAGTAAGTTATATAATAAAGTAATAAACTAAGTAGATATAGTTACTAGATTTATATTATTAAAAATAGCTTTATTATTATAAATAAGCTTTTAACTAATTAGAAAGATATATTATAAATATAGTTAGTAAATAGCTATATTAGATTATTTTAGATAATAGTTATTATTACTTTAAAGATCTTATTAGAAGTATTAACTAGATTTTAAGAGATTAGAATATTTATATTAGATATTATAGCTATTTAAGTTATTTAGTAATTAATTAATTAAATAATTAATTAATTAAGATAAGTTTTAAAGTTCTAATAGAAATAAAAAGTAGTTACTATTATTAGATAATAAGCTTTCCCCCTTAAAGGCTATAGTTATAATCAGACTATTTATATATCTAGCTATATAAATAGCTCTTATTATTAGAGTTTTTAAGATATTAATATCTATATCTAGATTAAAAGTATTTAATTTTAACTTTATTTTATAGTATTAAAGGTTTAAATATAAACTACTAATTATATTTTTTAAAAAATTATATAATCTAGTTATATATTATCTAATCTTAGGATATACTTTTATTTATAGTAAAACTAATAAAAAAAAATAATTATTAAATACTAAAGAAATATTTATATAATTCTCTATAAGTATAATAAAAATTAAGATTATCTATATATCTTTCTAATAATTAGCTATTAAATAGAATAATAGATTTAATAAATATAATTACTAGATTTATATAAAAGAGAGTAGCTTTATTACTATAAATAAATCTATAATAAGTTATAAGTTTAAATAATTAATATATAAAAAGAAATTCTAATAGTTATTACTAATAGTAATTATTAATATAATATATTAGTATATAGATTAAATTAATATATAAATTACTTTTCCTAATCTTTTTATTATTAAAATATATAATTCTTATTCTAAAGCTTTATATTTTTTAAAAATACTTTTTATATTATTATTATATATTAATATAGCTAGAAAAAATATCTTTTTAAAAATAGCTTATATATTCTAAACTATAGAGCTTAATAAGTATAAAAATAATATTATTTCTTTTTTTTCTTTCTCTAATAATAAAGTTATTATAGTAAAATTACTTTTAATTTTACTAGATTAAGTTATTATTCTTAGTAGTAAATTTATTTAGAAACCCTTACTACTTTAAGCTCTTTTTTTTTAATTAATCCCTATTAGAATCTGAATAAGTACTATTATAGTACTACTCTCTAGCTCTACTATAGTAGTTAAATAAGCTATTTACTTAGTTATTAAGAAATTAGTTTCTAAGCTTCTAATTAAGATATTAAAATAAACTATTTTATATTATAATTAGTACTTAGTAGCTCTTATATAAATCTATAAGTACTATATCTACTTACTACTATATTTTTTTTCTTTTATTCTTTTATTTCTTTTTATTCTTACTTCTTAAGTTCTAACTAACTCTTATCTCCCCTATAACTCTTTATTTTTCCTCCTACTATAACTTCTTTCTCTCTTTAATTTCTATATTCTTACTCTTTTAAAATTACTAGTTAGATTATAGTATAGCTCCTACTATATAGTTATCTCCTGATTTTAATTTAGAATACTCTGATCCAGACTTAAAGTATTTAGATAAGTCTGATATTAATAGTATTTTTAATAATAATAGTTATAAGAACTCTGAGTATAGGAGTAATAAAACTATCTTAGAAGAGTCTTCTAATAATAATAAAGTAGATTATAATAGTTAGTTAACTTATACTAAACTAGGTCTAGAGTAGATTAGAGTTAAACTAATTAGAGAGTTATTCTAAATAATATAATTAGATTATTATAAGCTATATAATATAAGTTATTATTAATATATAAATATTATAAAGCTAATAATAATAGATATATAAATAATATAAGTTTATTAATAACTATTTAAAAGAATATTCTATCTAGTAAAATAAATATATATATATATTAGAGAATTATTAATATTTAATAATAATCTATTATTCTAAATTATTAGAATTATTATAAGATTCTAATAATCTATTAATTATTAATTAGAAAAAATAGAATTTACTATATAACTTAATATATAATAATATAGTTTATAATATAAAATTCTCTTTTTATTAGTTATATTCTTAAGATTATATTTTATAGCTTATTAATAAATCTTTTCTAATTTAATTTTATATTTCTTTTATAATTTATAATAATATCTAATTATATATAGAAAACTTTTTATAAAAAGATTCTTTAATATAATATTTTTATTAATATTATATTATTAAATTCTTTAATAATATAATTAAAGTATAATTATTATAAATTCTATAGTTATAAATATTTTAAATTAAAGAGTTTTTTATTTTATTATTTTTATTATATTAAAAATAATTAATTATATTATAATACTTAAAGCTTTATATTAAAATAATTAAAATATATTATTAATTAATATAATAAATTAGAATTTAAACTAGAGATAATAGAAAAAAAGAATTATAATATAGATATAAAAATCTAATATTTTTATTAATAAAAGAAATTATAATTAGATAAAATAATATAAATAATAGTCTATAGTATTAATAGTATAGAAAAACTAGAGTATATTAAGTAAAAGAAAATAAAGAAAATAGCTTAAGAATAAATTTTATTTTTATTTATATTTTTATTTAAGCTTATATTTTTAGAGATTAAAATTAATTTAATATTTCTTTAGAAAAATATAAAACTATTTTCTTTTTAGTTTATTAGAATAAATATTTCTAATTCTAATAATATTATTAAATAAATTATTAATAATTCTTTAAATACTTAATAGATTTCTAAATATTATTATTATTTATATATTTTTTTATTTAATTAAATAAAATATTTATCTATTTTTAATTTCTTTTTTTAAAATTCTTTCTAATTTAAATTTTTTTTTATAAATTTTAATTAAATAATCTTAATTTAATATATTTTTTAATATTTTTTTAAATAATAAAATATAAAAAAATTAGATAGATATATATTATATTTAATAATAAAAGTTTATAATTAATATTTAAATTTTTTTTAAAATTTTTAAATAGTTTAAATTTTTTATAATTTAATTTATTATTTAATTTTATTATTATAATATTTTTATAAAATAAATAATTTTTTTTTTTAAATTAGTTTTTTTAATTTATTTTTATTATAATATTTTTTATTTTTTATTAAATAAATTTAAGTTTTACTTTTATTTCTATATATAATAAATATAATATTTCTTTTATAAATATAATAATTAATATATTAAATTTATTAACTTTTAATTTATTTTAAAATTATAATTTATAATTATAATTTATATATATAAATATAAGCTAAATAGATTTCTATATTAAATTATTATATATAATTATTATAAATAAAAGCCTCTATTAAGCTATATAAAGTTATATATAAAGTATAGATCTACTAGAGAACTATAACTAATAAGTATAGATCTATTACTTAGATAGTATAATAACTAAGTAATAAATAAATAATAACCTTATTATATATATATATTTATTTTATTAGTTAGAATACTT